GTCGATCTTTTAGGAAGCTGGTGCGGCAGCCTGTTGAAGACGAATCGTACGTCCTGCGCCAGAACACCACCAAGCAAGACTGCTACGCGACAGACTACGACTTGAAAGGCGCGATCTAGCTCTGAGCAGCCGGCTGTGCAGGCTCTTGATGTGGATGACTTGAAGGAAGCCATCAGGCAGAGGAACTCCGTCGATCTTCACGACATTGAGGCAAGGAAGATCGACATCTACCTCTACTCATACTATGAGTAGAGGTATACGTCGATCTTTTAGGAAGCTGGTGCGGCAGCCTGTTGAAGACGAATTGTACGTCCTGCGTCAGAATACCACCAGGCAACTTCCTGGCCGTGTTGAAGGAGTCCCCCCGTGCCTGCTGGATTAGTCCTGTTCTTGATTGGTTGTAGGGATATGCCCGGCACAGGTAGATTTTGCATGGCCTTTGCCCTGGTCTAGTTGTATGTAGCATGTAGCATCATCGAAGTTGGGGGCTTCAGACTGCCTTCTTCGCCGTTGCTTACTAGGTCTCCTTGAGTAGCCTTGTGGTGTAAAGCCTACGGTAATATAGGGGCCTTAATAATTAGAATTTATGATTTCAAGAGCGACCTACAGTAATATAGGGGCCTTAACAATTAGAAGAGGGTTTTGGGGGTTCCTTTGAAAGGGTTCCTTAAAGGGTTCTATAAGAGCCACTATAAGGGTTTAGGGTTTTGGGGGCCTTCGTAATTAGAATAGGGTTTGGGGTACATTATACTATATTTATAATAGGGAACCGCCAAAAACTCTAAGTATTAAGGCCCCTACAGTACGCCTAACTTGGTGTCATCGTTTCAATGCAAGACCTGACAGTCGAGCAAACACTAGTGGAGAGCCTTCACAACCTGTATGAAACACAAAGATGATGGCATGTATAGTATGATGATGATGACGATGAAGATGCTGAAGATGATGACGATGTGGAAGATGTGGTGATAGTGATGATGCCGATGACGATGACGATGGTGATGATGCTGGTGAGTAGGAGCATGATGGTGATAATGACGACAATGATGCTGATGGCGATGGTCATGGGTTGCTCCTGACCATGATCCGGTTCGTGGTCATGTCAATGCAGAAAGAGGTGGTGCAGTGCTAAAGATGCGGATGCCCCTGCGCAGTGTCACCAAGGACTAGTGACCAGATAGCTACGGATACTTTTATGTAGGGCTCCTCATTATAACTAGATTGTATCATGCCCCAAAGCCTTGCGCTAATTTCTACAGCCCCTATTCTTAAGGTCAAGAAACCGTGATAGGATCATTGAGGATAACCCTTGAAGGAACCCCAATCCGAAATTGCGAAAGCCCCTCTATCATCATCCTGACCTTTCAAGGACTTTGGGTTTGGGGTTTAGGGTTTAGGGTTTACGGTTTAGGTTTATGGTCTAGGGTTTAGGGTTTAGGGTTTAGGGCTTAAACTTTCAAAAATGAAGCACCCGAAACAGGTAGGTTTTTAGGCTTCAGGCCAGCGTAGCTGCAGTATAATATACCAAATTCTACATATACAAGGCCCCTGTGACACATCATAATCGCCCTACTTAAGGGCTGAGGGGACTTAGTAAGTAGCTTATCATTGGGGTTATGAGTCCCTAAACCCTAAACCCTAAACCCTAAACCCTAAACCCTAAACCCCAGAACTTACCAACCTAAGTCCCTTTTGAGCCTTCGCTGTACCATTTCTCTGGAGGCCACTCCTTGGGCGCTGGACTGGCCCAGTTCTCTGGCAGCGCTCTAAGGGTAGGGTCTGGGAGTCATGCCTGGTTAGGCTTAAGGTTTTGGGGTTATTACAACTGGTTTTAGGGTTATTACAACTATAGTATCATATACCCCAAAATTTCTAATTATTAAGGCCCCTAGATTATAGGGTTTAGGGTCTCGGATTTCGGGTTCAGGGTGTAGGGCTTAGTGACGATATCTCTCCTCAGAGTTCCTGTATAAGCATACCGCAACCTGTTCCCGGACCCTCACCCTAAAACCTAAACCCTAAACCCTAAACCCTATTCTTCAAGAGCTAAGGCCCCTCTTTGTGCAATTGTGCGTTTAGAGATGTCGGTTTCTGGATTTCAAGTGTCCTCCGGCCTTTCTTTGAGTGCCCTCCAGGGTGACGTTCCCACCATCTTAGGAGGATTCCCAAAACCCTCCGCCTTTTCCCATGCCACTCGTGCAGATGTGTTGCATATCGGTGTGGCTCTCCACACAGTCAGTCCAGAGAGTGTTTTCCTGAGGCCATACAGCCTTCGCTCACCCAAGGATTGCACATCTGGCACTGCTCGGCGAGCAGCATGCCGGGCGGTTTTCGAATCTTGTGCCTTGGAAGAAAGTTTGGTCTGTCGGGTGGCGATCTACCAGGTGCGGAGTAATATAGGAGCCTAAATAATTACCAAAATTATTCCTTAGGGCTCTGAGGTCATTCAAAATATACTATAAAGGAGCCCAAAACCCTGTTTTAATTATTTTAGCTATCTAGGCCCCTACATTAGTTGGTTCGGACTTGAAGGAAGAGAGATGCCATCGTGACAGACGATTCCCGGATGTTCGATTCTGAAGTTGGTCTCTTGCCAGGAGGAGGGAAGCAGACATCAAGAGGAGGGTGACTCTTAATATCGGGGTCTGAATACTTAGAGATACTATTCCTCCGGGCTTCTCCCACAATTATCGTATAATATCTCCTACAACCTTTCCCGCTATAGTCCCCCAGCACTTAACCGAAAACCGGAGCCCTAAACCCTATGTAATTATACTATGATAGACCCCATGCAGGTTGCCGAGCGATGTTTAAGCTATCCTGTTCTTCACGGAGTGAAGCGCCGACAGTGTGAGGTTTCCCCCCCCACTGCATCTCAGTGCCAGACTGCCCACAGCAAAGATTCCGAAAGAGGTCGTCCAAAGTGTGGCGTTTGCTTCGCCAATGGTCTTCTTTGTCGCCGCAGACATTACGGAGGCAGGGCATTTGTTGAAGTTGGAGTTGCCAGTGTAGCTTTGGATGCCAAGGATCTGGTTTTCAAGCGCTGAAGATCTGTGTAATGTAGGGGCCTAAATAATTACCAATACTATTTTGGGGTTTCCTCGTTATATTTAAAGTATAATATACCCCAAAACCCTGAGTTAGAATAAGGAGCCCCCAAAATAGTGTTGGGAATTATTTTTGAGGCTCCTACATTACCCTAAACCGAATGTGTTCCCCAACTCGCAGCTTGTGGCCTCAGGCATCGAGGTCGAAGCCCGGGGCTTGAAATGCCTTTTCATAAAAGCTTTCGAAGGGCTTAGGGTTTAGGGGTTTAGGGTTTAGGGTCTAGGGTTTAGGGTTTAGGGTTTAGGGTTTAGCTATGAGGGTGTCTGTAAGGGGTTCTAGTCGGGCTCTATAAAGGGCTGGCTTCATCCATGATGGAAGGGAGAGTTAAAAAGGCAGACTGCAATTTGGCCACGTGATCCACGCAACTCGATGCAACCGGACTATCCTCAGTAGGATCAACCTGGTCCCTGCAGAATGACAACCTTACAGCCCTTGAGATAGCTGGCAGACTGATTTTTCAGGATTTGGGGCGCTCGGCCGAGGAAGCAAAGCTAAATCTGCGAAAGTCTCGGGTACTAGGAAAGGTAATGCAGATCCCGAAGAATCCTGATAAAATCCTCGTAAAACGTTTCTAGAGCCCTCGTAGAATCCATGCATAATATTCACAGAACCGGATATATACCCACCTTAAAACTTTTCGGAGCCCTTGTCGAGCCTTCATCCGGAACCCTCATAGCTCCCTGCTGAAACTCTTAAACCCTAAACCCTAAATCCCTAAACCCTAAAACCCCTAAACCCCTAAAGCCCTAAACCCTAAACCCTAGATCCTTGCAAAGAGACCTCAATGAAACCCTCGTAGTCCATTCTGAACACCAGCCGCCCTAAACCCTAAACCCTAAACCCTAAACCCTGATCTTGCAGAGGCCACGCAGTCCGTCTTGCAGGAGCTCTTCGACAGCAGCGTGAACTATGCCCCTCGGAGGGGTTTAGGGTTTAGGGTTTAGGGTTTAGGGGTTTAGGGGTTTAGGGTTTAGGGTTTAGGGGGTATAGGGTTTAGGGTTTCCTGCCAGAATTCCGAACATTTCTACTTTCACCTGGCTGACCATCGCT